GCACATGACACATCTGTATGAGTATGCATAGGGAAAAAACTCAGGACGTACACTATACTATTATAATATTCTGGATTGTTGTGTAATGCTGTTGTCTTTTGAATAATTTTTTGCTATGTCTTGCGTCTGCCTCCTGTGATCTACCCTACAATTTTCTCCTCTCTGATTGATCTGCCCTGGACAACTTTGAAAAGTTTCCTGTCTTTCCTTGTTGCTTCATCTGCTTTGCTTATTTAGATTTCCTTTTGAGTGCACAGAATGTTCCGTTTCTCCAGGCTTGGGTTTAGAAGTGAACACAGGTCAGTCCGGCAGTTCTGAGCTCACTTCCTGTAGCAGAAGAGGTGTGCCTCACAGGAATGACCTTATCAGGATGCTGTCTTGCTCAGGGCTCGGAAGTGTGGGTGACACCCGGCCACAGCACACAGTGTCCTTGTCTTTGTGTCCATGACCTTCTTGTTGGGTTAGGAACCCAGCAAGGCAGGAAGCCAGATGGGCTTAGCACTTGTATTTGAAGTGAATGATTGAATCCACGGCAGTATTAAAACCTGCAGGAATTGTGTGATAATTTCAAACTTACTGTAAGAAAAAATTAGAAACTTTTAATTTGATTTCACAGTGGTATCTTTGATATCCACAGGAAGGAAAGAGAAATTAAACTTTTCTTTTGAACCAGGCTTTTGCAATCTACATTGGCTCTGCTGTCTCAGCAATCAGTCGTTTTAATCTCCAAAGGAAATGCTATTAATTCTTTACATCAGAGAAGCCTCCCACTTGCCAGTGCTCCACATCCAGAGTAATCAATCAATAAGCTGAGTAATTTGTCTTTGTAGAATAGCTTAGCACCATTCATATTAAGTCCTAGTTTTCAGTCTGTTTTTAAATGGTACACTTTTCATGCAGATTCCAGGGGCCCCGCTGTCCTTGATGCTGCTCCTGGAGGTGTAGGGTGTTAGAGGGGAAGGGGCCCTGCAGACCTTCCTCCCTTGCCCTGTCCTTCTCCTCTCCTGTAGTCCTCTCTGTGTGGTCTTCCAGGGGCTGCTTTCTCATTTCCAAAAGATGGGATTTGGATTGAGGTGGTACCTTCAGTGGTGATACCTGTGGCTGACTGATGGCTGACACTTGTTTTAGAAATGGAGGACAGGAAACCAATGCCTACCCTACCTGTAAAGTAGGCTAGCTGAAATTGTGTTTAGATTTTTAACAGATCCTCTTTTAAAATCAGGCACTAGTTTTTTCTACAAAGTTATAAAACTAAAGATTGTGGCAGGGCAGTAACCCCCAGGGTCTTAAGTGAAGTTTTCTCTCAGATTGCAACACTGCCATTTACTTCTCAATTTGCCATTTCAGCTGGAAAAGACTTATAATAAAATCTTAAGGGCAATGTTGATAGTAATGCTTTTACTGATTTTATGTGACTTTTTTGTGGGGGGTGGGTAATGGGGATCAAAGTAGGGAAATTGCCCTTGCAACGCAGGCAGTGGAACCACTGAGCTAAATCTCCAATCCTACATGGCCTATTTTTTACTTTTGTTTGTTTTTTGGTACTGGGGATCGAACTCGGGACCTTGCGCTTGCAAGGCAGACAGTGGCACCACTGAGCGAAATCCCCGGCCCAACATGGCTTATTTTTAAATCCTCTACATTCTTTGTTTAAAGTCAGTATATACTGTTGCTATAGCCAATTAAAAATTCTCTTAAACTGTCATAGATTGGATAAAAGGACATCATTGTTATTTTTAAGATGAGATCTATGATTCAAAACAGTTCACGACTTGTGTTTCCTAACAAAGCAAAATATGGCTATTAATTAATGCATTTAGTTATACAGGAGTTCTGAAAACTCTAGAAATTTTAGTTTTTATTAACCAACCATATTGAGGTCTGTAATGATTGAAGCTAACTGAAGAATGAGTTGACATTTATTGCTTTTATCTTTACATAAAACAAAAAGAGCTAAAACACTGCATTTCAAAGTTAATGTCCTGAGTATCGTCAAATTTGTTTGAAAGAAATATTTAGATTTGGGTAATTTTGTCTGTTTTTATTGGTGAAACATCACTGTAAGGGATTCTCTACGTATTTTATTATTCCTCTCATGGTAGTGTCTTAGTCCTGGTCCAGCCAGCTTAGGGGAAGAGGAATTCTGGATACCTCAGGTATTTCTTGAGTAACTGGAAGTAAGAGGTGAAAGCCATTCGGAACTAAGGCATCACCTGTGTGCTTCACATCATGGCTGCTGTTTTAGCGTCCACACAGCCACCACCAGGTTTGGTGATTCACTTGTGAGAATCATGGAATGGAAATGTGGTCACACTCACGTCTGTGACTTACTGCAGTGAAAAGAAATAAATTAAAATCAGTTTGAGGAGAGGATGCATAGGCAAGGTCCAGATCACCTGTAAGCCCCAAGTCCTCCCCAGTTAAAGTCACACAGAGTTACACTTCATTTCTCCTGTAGTGAACTGTAGTGAACAAGTGGTAGAAACACATGAATTGTTGGCGGCCAGGTAAGCACAGTGCTCTTTTGAGGATTGCTCGTGATAATATATATCCAAAATCCAGACTCAGAAGGAAAGCAAGTGCTCATCCTAGACCACGTTCTGCAGACAGCTTCGTGTGCACTGTCCAGTTAGGGCAGCTGTAGTGAGCTAGAGCGGGCTGCTGTATTATCCAGAGCCCTAAAAAGTGTCAGCCAGCTGGGGAATGATGGGAACCCTCCCTAAACAGGTTCCCAGGGCGAAGGGTAGTGAGATCTGCCTCCTGTTCTCTCCCTTGCACAGCAGAGATGTGGCCCACCTCAAGTTAGGTACTGGCTGTGAGGAACTAGTTTTATGAGTGTGTTCAAACTCCAAATTCTTAGGTGAAATAATTATCCCAGCTTGGATTCATTATCTACTCTGCTCCACCCTTCAGAGAAATGGGTCACCTAATTAGCATGGGCATTAGGGTCCTTCCCATCCATAGAGAGCCTGGTGGTTCATTTGGGGCTCAAAAGACATTCTAAAAGAAAGCCGTACAGAGGCATGTGTGGAAAGCTTCTCAGATTGCAGACTTCAGCTTGCACAGGCCCTCTTGGGAAGTGTACTGTAAAGTGATGGAGACAGTGGTACCTGGGTGCCGTAGGTGTCAAATCAGAGTGAGCTGGCCCCATTTCTCTGAGTGGAAGTAGGTAAGCGTTCATTTGCATGGAAGCTGCAAATGCCTAAGAGATTCTGTAACGAATTCAGATACATTGTCCTTAAATGCTTTGTAATACTGTAGTCTTAGTAAATTTCTCTTTAGGATTCTACTTGGAGACAGTTGGGAGTTCATGAAAATGGCCTGATTCATCCCTAAGATTGATCTTGGAAGTGCTATATTAGAATAGCAAACATTCCTGTAATATTTCTGTATGTCTACTGTGTTGTTTGACACTTTCTAGGTAAAACTTTGTCTAAACTATTAAAGAGTCAATTTTTAGCCCTCTCTTCTATTTTTAAACAATTTTTAATGTTAGCCTCTATAAGAAGCTCTGATGCCTATTTCTCAGAGCATGGATTATCTTTTATTTGTTCAAGGCAGGAGCTTGCGTACTGTTGAGGTGACTCAAGGTGGTTTCTGTAATTGGAAGACACAAACCAGCTTAGCAGACCTGTTAGGTCTGTGGCCCATGTAGAAAATGTTTCAGATCCCTTCAGTCATTGGGAAATTGCCACAAAAAAGTCATCATTCTTCTTTACATCATTATTGGCTTCATGCATAATAGGTTAGTGTTCCATTAATTAAGAAAAATATGCACGTGTGCACACACTGTTTTGTATGTGTGTGTGTAAAATTTAAAACTTTTTGCTTCCAGGCAGACTTCATCTTCCTTTCTTATCTGAAGTCAGCAGTAATCACAGCAAACACAGCCTGTGGCTGTTGTCTGTATATCCTTCAGCCGCCTGGTGCTCACCTCCGTGTACCTTCTAGCTTAGTCTCTCTCTTTAATGCACCCAACTGTGTTCTCAGGCCAGTGTTTGCTTTTTCATCTCAGATATCTTTGAGATAGAGGCAGCAGTCATTCCAGAGAAGATAGAATTTTACACATCCCTACCCCCAGCTCCAGACCCACCACCCCCGTGGGGATAGAACCCAGGGCCTCGTGAATGCTAGGTGAGGACTCCCAGTCTCTGAGGATAGGATTGCTAAGGAAGAGAAGTGTTTCCTTGTGAGTCGGAAAATTGCATGTGGAAAATAGTTCCTAAGTCCCATCAACTGATTAGCCAGAAGACTTTGGAAAACTTAAAGTGAATCTGCTTTTCGAAGTGTGTGTGTGTGTGTGTGTGTGTGTGTGTGTGTGTGTGTGTGTGTGTGACACACACACACACACACACACATCCCTGGGGTTGCGGTCCCTGCTCTGACAACTGCTGAGGCTTGGGGCAGGACTGTTTGTACAGACAGCAGGGTGAGAAGCAGCTCCATGTTTATTGCTGTCAGCTGTGCTAGCCTTCCTGTGGGGAGGGGTGCTACTGCTCCACCTCAGCCCACGCCTCTTCGCCAGCACTCTGTGTGGAGAGCACCTGGTCTTCCTGATACTGAGCTCTTCTGATAAACATCATCTGTCCTGTGTTTGATGCGATTACAGATATTACTCATGCATCACTGTAGAGTAATGACCTTTATGGATCTGGTTGGTATAAAAATAAATGGTCTTATTGTTTGTTAATCATAAACTATTAGACACATACAATTTTATGAGATTTACTAATTACTATTTTATTGTTAATGGAAATGTTATCCCTTAATTGATTTCAGCTGCAGTTATTCTGGCAAAGTGCTGTTAACTGGGAGTTCTCTCTGTTAGCCAGATTCACATCTGCATTTGTTTGGCTCCTGTATTATATTTGGTAAATGAGCAACTGGATGTGCTGGTTGGTGGAAGGATGGGACTAGGACACAAAGGCTCAGTCCTCAGCAACCTGTCCCTGTTAGCATGCAAATATGTAACATTTCTGTTGCATCTTTTGTTTTCACAGTGAGAGAAAAACGCAAGAGTCTCTTCATTAATCATGTAAGTGAAGCTGTCTCCCTGTGTTTTTCATGATGACTATAAAATGTAGAGCTTGAATGACTGTGTCTTTGATGAATAAAATGATTCATGTATGCTGTCAGTACTTAGAAGAATGTTGCATTGTATTCACGCTCAGTTTGGCTTGTAATTGGACAAACATCACTTGGTATTTATCCACTGTCCTGAAGGTTTTTCCAGATTCCCTAGACTGCTGTTGTTAATAGGAAGATTAGTGTGAACACAGCCAGTACTACACAGGTCCAAATAAAAGCCACTTCATTTTAATTTCTAATCCATTCTTTATACCAACTTCTAAATCATTTTTTGTTTCTTTATAGTGCATTCTCATTTGAATAAACAGAACTATTTCTATTAGCAGCTATCTGCCTCCTCACTCACTTTCTTCTGTCCAATCCCTGTTTCAGGGGCCAGTGGCATCTACACATTCTTTGGGTGCTCAGAAAAGGAGAAACTTAACAGTTTAATTTGAAAAGATTTTTCAACAGTTCAGCTGTAGCACGTTGGTCACTCTGAGCTGTGTATTTTCCCTCGGTATCCATGCATGGTGTTTCCCCTCCAAACACTACTTCCTCTTTGAGTAGTGGGTGCTGCTGGCTGACTCTGGTCCCCCAACCCATAGCCCAAGGCTACCTCTGCTGCATGCAGTTATGTCAGGAAAAATTCTGTCCCTGAGGTCTGGATTGGTGAAGTAGAAACCCTTGTGCTGAAAAATAAGTGTTGCTTTTCACCTCACAAAGTATATATTTCTCAGCCTTTAAGTATTTGTAGACCATGACATATTTAGTGAAGCTGTGTATTAGTATTATATTGCCTGCCCCTTGAAAATCTGGACAAACGTATTGTCCACCCCCTCAAGAGGCACCACGCTGGGCCTGTGGGAAACTGACAGTTCTTTTGTGGGCAATGTCAATCTGTATATTTGAGCATCAGTGGTTTACTAGGGGTCAGACAGCCTATAGTTTTTATCAGATTCTTACAATGATCCACGAGTCCTTCATCCCTCAAAGTTTGCATCATTGATATAAAACATCTGTCCAATCATATGTCTCTAAGAAAAGATGATGGAAATTGCTGTGTTTTTTAAAGCAGTGTATATTTGGATGTAGAAATGTGAGTGATTGAATCTAATTCTCTAAATCATTGAGTCCATTTGTTTACCTGCTGAGTATAAGCTTGGATGCTTTCACCCATTAGCATGTCTGTAAGGAGCTTGCAGGGTGGGATGTGTGAGCCGAAAGAGCAGTCAGATCTTTGCTTACTGCAGCTCCCAGGAGGAGCGAGACAGGTGTGCTCTCTGGTTCTGACTAAACCCCTATCACAGTATGCTGTCGCGCTGAACCTTGCTCTGTGTTCTGCACATCCTCACACCTGCCACGTGTGGACCCTACGCGTGGATTAGGTGGTAGGCTGTGTGTCCTGTCTCAGGATGTCCTCCCTGACTTAGTCCAGCCCTCAAATCTGTCATCTCCTGACAGTGTGAAATCACACAGTTCTTGTGATCTCTCAGGTGCACTCGTTCCTGTGTAAAACAAGGATCAGAGCCAAGTGTCTTATGTAACCGACAAGCCTAGAGCTGGCAACCTCTGGTTGGTGTGCAGACCTGGCTGGCTGCACATGAGCATCTTCTGCTGGGAGAAGCCTTGGAATGTGCCCTCCCATCCCACTGAATGCAGCTTGAATGAAATCACCTGCAAGTTTAGTTTGGCGAATGCGGTAGACTGTGTAGTTAGTGCTCTCTGTGGAGTGCTTCCCTGCATGTTCCAGGCCCTGTTCTGGTTACCTTAACATAATTAACACATGTTGTTAGCATGGTAACCACAGTATTATGAATCATTCCCATTTTATTGATAGGGAAACTGAGGCACAAAGGCGTTAACCAAATAAATAGTGGAGCCAAGTTTGAGACTCGGCTCTTGCTCTGTCAGATAGTGACACAATCTTTCGCAGGGACAGAGGCTATTTATTGAAGTTAGAGGATGACTTTTATAATTAAATTTCATAGGACAGTCTGTAGGATTCATTTCTGTAAATATGGATCCCAAGTAAAATTTGTAATTTAAGTTACTCTTAAATTCTAGAAGATCAGGTATTGTTTGGCCTGGTTTGTATAACCTTATCATATTTTACTTGTTTTATTGTGAGAGAGATTGCTGCTCTGATTGTTCTGTCAAGTTCCTGGAAACCATTTTTATATTTTTATTTGCCTTTTTGTAAAGAATATTGTTTAATTTCTTCTTCAAGTTTCTGATGCCCCTATTTAGTACATGTTGCCCAGGTAACCTGCAAAAAGGCTGTTATTTAAGAGAAATGAGAGCAGAGCATGTAAATAAGCCAGTTAAGAGAAATGAGAATGGTCCTCCTGTATTCTTAGAGTGATGATAACTACAGAGAAAATTTCTAATGTCCCTCAGATGAAGAAAATAAGGTTTCTCCAATACACACTAGCAAGTGAAAAGAGTCACTTTGGCCCAGAATTTTGGGGCAGTGAAAAGGCAACAGGAAATAGAACCCAAGGCCAAAGAAGAGGGTCGACACTTAACTGGCACCAAACAGCCAGGAGAGACTCTGAGGATTAGGTAAAGGGGGACTGCTTCAACAGGGGTGCATTATCAGTTTTAAAGCTTGAAACCACTTGAGAATAAACTGCTCTGGGAGTTTGACAGCTAGGCAAATCTGGGTAATCATGAAGGGTATAGTCAGCACCTGTTTTAGATATAATTAGAATGAACTGTTTATAGAAAAATTTAGCACATTATAAAAGGTACTTTTAAAGGCTCGTATAAAAGGCTTTATTTTAAAGTTAGCATTTGAAGTTTGGCTTTTTTTTATGTTTAATTATTTTATTAAGTCTTGTAATTAAAATGTGAACATCTCTGATTATAAATTTTGGTAACATTGGGGGTAGCTGCAAACTTGGAGAAAACTTATGCCTTTTACCTCAGCCTAGTTCTTTTCTGACATCCTGCTGCTACCTGGAGACAGCGTACTTAAAGTGAATTGATCACTCTAGAAGTTAAAAAGGGAGAAGGCACACTTAGTAAGCTGCTGTTCTGCTGGCCTCGTGCAGTATACTTGGAGGGTGGAGAAGAAGGCTAAGATGTTAATCTCAGTAAAATTTTAAAACTCCAGAAAGATTATTGAAATCCAACTTTTATCTTGAAGTTTTTTTGCCCCCCCCCCACTGGAGATCAAACTCAGGACCATGTGCTTGCGAGGCAGGCGGCACAACCACTGAGCTAAATCCCCAGCCCCATCTTGAAGTAATTTCAAGTGAACAAACAGCTGCAGCGGCTATTACGTAGTGCACAGTTTTCACATGTTATTAGATGATCCTTAGACACTGGGTCTGAGCCCACTCATGCTACTTGACAAGGGTACTGAAATGGAGTAGACAATTTGCATTTTGTTTTCTTATTTTTCCTTCTTCACAGAATATCTAGAAATGAAAATGGCACACACACCAAATGCTGGTACAGATGACAAGTTTGTACGTGATGTCAGTCCCTGGAATGTACTGGTTATGTCTATGGAAGATTTTCCTTCCTTTCCTTTCCCATCCCTTTCTCCAGCATAGCCCTCCCCTTCCTGTTCCCCTCCCCCTTCCTCTTTTTTTGTTTTTGTTTTTGTTTTGTTTTCCCTTTTTGTGGTGCTGGAGACCAGACCTAGGGCCTTTCACATACTAGGTAAATGCTGTACCACTGAGCTGCACCCTCAGCCAACTTGCCCTTTTCTTTTCCTGTTTCTTCATATATCCTTCCTCTTTTTGCACTGTTTCTCTCTCTTGATTAGGCAGTTGAGTCCTGTGTGGTGTAAACAAATAGAGGATAGCTAAGGGGACATTGCCTCCCTGCTGCTCTCTTGGGTCCTGAGAAAACTATGCTCAGCTAGTAAGACACTGAGCTATGAAGGGGTCCTGACCTGTGTCAGGGTTCATGTCAGACATTCATAATACACTCCCAGCGAAAGGTGCGGTGTTCAAAGCTCCAGTCTTTTCTATGTATAAAGAGGACCTCACTCCTAAATAAGGGGCACAATTTTCCCACTGCTCAGATGCTGCAATATGTGGGGAAGGCACTGTCCTTGTACCGTAGTCTCTGCCTTCCTGGCTCCATTGTTTGCCTAGGAGATACTGGTTTGTCACACTGGCTGGATGGGGGCACAAGACCCTTTGTTCTTCTTTGACTACTCCATTATGTCATTTTACTTTTTCTCTTGCCCTGCCCCTTCCTTTTCCTTCCTTTTGGCATGAAGCCAGGACCTTTGTACTGAGCTATATCCCCAGACCACTTTTTTCTTTATTTTTGAGACAGGGTCTTGTTAAGTTGTCCAGGTTGGACACAAACTTTCAGTCCTCCTGCCTCAGCCTCCCAGACTGCTGGGATTATGGGCATGCCCAGCAGAATATTCTTGTATTGGCTTTTGTGTAGACACATTTTCACTTCTCTTGGCCATATACCTCGGAACAGAATTAGTGTTCAGAATTGTAGCTCTACTTTTAAAACTTTGTGACGCTACCAAGCTATTTTCCAAATGAGTCATTGTTTTTAATATTTGCTGTTCTGTAAATTTGATTTTTAGCTGATCAAAAGTAAGATACATTCTTGCTTTCTCAAAACACAACTCATTTTCTTTTTACTTTTGGAAATTTTAAACTTTGCCCAAGAGAAGCTGTGACTCTTTGGAACCAGTAACATTTTGACTAAGATAACTAACTGCTTTCTTAGAGAAATCTGGAGCTAGATTACAGAGTAATTTGGTTTAGCAAAGGAGTCCTGTGGCTTGCATTCCCATGTCCAGATGTTCTGTGATGCTGTGTCACCTGTGAAGAGGGACAGCACCACTTGCCGGCTGCTTGTGGGATGGCTGTGGACACAGTAGGAGGGGGATATGTGACTTGATGGGCTTTTCTCACAGTGTATTGATCATGTGGAAGAGTGGACTAGAACGCACATGAAAGGAACTTGATTCATACAGACCAG